GATCTTCCCAGGTGACGAGATACTGTCTGAGGCGTGAGGTAACAGAGGTCGTTCTCTAAGAACCTAGTTTTGCTATATATTCTTTTACTATTTCACGAATCTTACATCGGGAGAGATGGCTCACGGCATCAACTGATGACATTGCAGTCCCTCTGACAAGAAGGTCATAGGTTGAAGACCCGTCAGTGGAGGATTTTCGACACCAGCTTGTTGGCTAGGTCGAATTCAGTCGAAGAGAATTATAACGACCGGCTGCTCTGATCGGAAGTTTTCTGTGGTTTCTCCGATCAACATCAGGTGAATGCTGGAGTACCCAAACAAACGGACCGAGCGCGATCTCACCTTCCTCTTCCTTGCCCTATGCTCCCCCTTACACACACACACTCACGCACTCTAACACGCACTACACTACCACATTGCCGGGAGACTCGTCAGGAGCTAAAAGCGCTTGAGCGGTGCCCCGTTGGTGGGAGATACCTGATTGGGAAAAAACCCGCTAGCCGACAGTAGGTCGGCGTCGGATCTTTCCATACAGGGAGGAAACATCACCGCTACCTCCTGAGTAAAAAAAGATCATTACACTTACAGGACTAATGACCCTGGTAGTTGACGCGCCCGGAATTATCAATCAACGAAACCTATAAATATACTCTTTGTTGTGAATAACAAGCGACTCTGCCACGCAAAATTTGGAGGGAGGGGACATCAATGGAAGTATCTCCAATATCTTAGTTCACATCACGACAAAAGTGAATAAAAATGAAATTTAAAATTACCGGCAAATTTCTTTTTTGTCATTTTGTTTCCAAAAATATTACATACTTTTTTAAGTATACGAATGGAAACCTTTCTCAGTAAACACGACACGTTTTAAGATTGCCAACATGGCCCTATTCTCTTCTTACTATACGTAAACGATATGCCATCGACTTTGACGCGATCGTAACGGAAGAACAGTTCTCTTTGCGGATAATATCACGATACGAATATTCTTTGTAATAAAGAAACAGTAAATAGTACAATTGCACATGTTTCAAATTAGTTTCGTAATAACAAATTATTAGTTAATTAAAATAAAAGTTTCAATAAAGTTTTCCATTCCAAATAAACAATTCTGTACTCCATTGAAAATGAACGGTGTCCTATTGACTGATATTAAGTTAATACAATTTTCAGGTCAGTTCCGTCAAACCTAAAATGGAACGTCCATTTAAATGAATTGAACGCAAAATGAAGTTCACTATGTTACGCGTTCAGAATCCTTTCAAATTCAGTCAGCCATCATACTGCTCGTTGATCACGAGTATATTTCCAGAATGGTCATTTCCGCCGTAATCGTTGAAGACAAATTAACTTTTTTTTAAATCAAATTTATTTAGAATGCTTTTAATGTATTTATAGAAACCACTTAAGGCACCAATGTTTCTTATTTGATAAGGGGGTGCGAGCGCCTCAGGAAGTTAGAGCGAGATTACGTGGACTCTTGTCAATTTCCTATGTATTCCTCATATATAGCCATTTTTGGGTTCTTTTCATCTTGTCTTTGTGAAAACATCGCTTCTGTGTAAATGACCCAGACAACTTTATGTGGGAAATGTACATTACTTCAGCAGAGGCGTAATATTACAGATTTTGTAAAAAACAACAACATAATTTGCCTACTTTGGAATCAAACTTGGAGACCAAAATAAATCTTGGGCTTTTCAGACATGTAGAGTATGCTTCGTCAGAAGATCTTTGTCATTAGGTCAACGGCAAAAGACTGTTGCTAACTTTTGGAATACCTGGTTTAGTGAGAACAGTCAAATCATACTAATGACTGCTACTTTTGTTCGTGTATGTGAAGGGATACAATTCTAAAAATAAAAAGCAACTTGTGTCCAGTTTTTCGGTCACCTGTCCCCATGGGCCTGATGTTACAATCCCTGTGCGACCAGAAAATCTTGAACAGTTTTCATCCGAATTTCATATATGAGTGATGGAAATTGGGACGCGTGACAATAACTTCTCACCAGAATCGTCTGCTGTAGAACGCTTGGTGAGATACCTTGCCCTTTCTAAAGAGTTAGCTGAGTTCTTGAGTTCTAAACTCCAAGAAAAAATTATTTTGTCCAAAAACCCCATTCTATTGGTTCGGACACCGCGAAATATAATTTAAATCCTTCTATGAATATGCCTAACTTGTATATTGAAATTATGGGAAAGAACTTATGCTGAAACTTGGACTTCCTAACTATGACCCAAGTGAGTGGAGACCGTTCATTGATGCTTCCAAGCGAAGTATCGTGTTCTCCTTCATATCGGAAATGTTTTGGTTCAGAGCCTGTTGCCTATTCAGTGATCCTCAAAAATCTTTCGCAATTTTGCAACCTAATGTTATTGCGAGAGTTATTGCGAGTGGACCCAACTGACCAGTTAGTGGCGATTTTAAAGTTCTTTTGATGCTGCTGGGCCAACAGTTTGGTTTTAGCAAACTTCCGTGCTTTCTTTGCTGGTAGGGTAGTAGGGCACGAGTTAATCACTGGAATTAGAAAGACTGGCCACTTTCAGGAAGTTTGGAAGTCGGTTGTAAGAATGTTGTGCGCCAAAGCCTTCCGAGTTCTTCTAAATTTTTTGCTGCTACCTCTCCACATTTAACCTTGGCTTTATGAAAAATTCGTAAAGGCTTTAAATAAGGAAGGAGACTGTTTCAAGTACGTATGTGCAAAATGTCCAATACTATCTGAAGCAAAATTAAACGAAGGTATATTTACTGGTATTTATTTAGGAAAACTGATGTCAAATACAGCTTTTAAAAACACTACGGATGAAAAGGAGAAAGCAACTTCGATATCTCTCTGTGAAGTTGTTTCAAAATTTCTTGATAACAACAAGAATCCCAATTACAGAAACATTGTGATTTTATATGCTTGAAGCACACAAGGAATTTTGTCGTAACATGAGTGTAAAAATTAATTTTCTGTTTTTTCACCTTGATTATTTTTCCGAAAATCTACGATTTGTGAGCGAAGAATAAGGCGAACGATTTTACGAAGATGTGCTGGGGTTCAAAAGAATGTACCAGGGACGCTGGAGCATTAGTATGCTTGCAGACAATTCTTGGACAAAACATTAAAGACAATGGATCAGTACTTTCTCAAGTAAGAAGCAACGGGTGTAAAATTTGCGTGAAATAGTGAAGGAACAGGAATACTTTCTTAAGTAATAGGCAATGGGTGTGAAATTTGTGTTTTCAACAGTAAAGAAAAGAAGAAAAAAAAAAAAAAAAGCAAACACTCTAGTAACATGTATTAACAACCATACATAATAATTTCAGCAAGTTGTGTATAATTGTTTTTCTTCAAAATATGAAAGCATTTGTGATGGAATTCGCCTAATTATACTTGCAGGAGCAGATCACGGAGTTGAAGCAAATGAGAGAAATACCCCCCCCCTAAAAAAATTATTTTTTTTGTTCTGAAACTATCAGTTTTAACTTGTCACGAAACTATCAAGCAAAAATATTTTCGGATAATCATTAAAACGAATAAAATTGTTTAGCATGAGCTGAGTGTAGCTTGCAACATTTTACAAAATCTGTAATGACACATTCGATCGAAACATTTTTAATTTGCTCGTCCATAATTTGTCTCTGGATCCGCCGTAAGTATAAAGCGATTTCGTACGAAAACCTTTCAGCACATCGACATTATACAAAATCACGTCTTTTTTACTTTAGGAAACAAACAAAAAGTTCAAATCCGCAGGCTAGTGTTCTCATTGTTATGATCTAGAACCACGAAGAGCCAATATACTAAATTTCCATCGTCTTCTCGAGATTTAGTAGTGTCAAAATCAACGCCAGCGCTACCTGTTAGAGGAAAAAGTAAACATAGCATCATTTAAGAAAATGTAATTATTGTAGAAGGCCAATTTGCCAACTGAATATCATGAAGGCATGGAGGAATACATTCCTCCATGGTAATGTGCAGAGACCCCAATAAAGGCTCCTGACCCAAAATAGAAATTACTTTATTTACAATTATAAAATGTTTACATTTTTTAAGTCTATTTGTTATATACATCAGATCATTTTATTTAAATATTTATTTAATGGATTAATATTTTATAATTTTAAAAAAATTAATCTTTTAATTTTATTTAAAATTTTCATAGCATATAGTAATTATTTTAAATAATTTTTAATTGTGGTAATAAAATGCATATCAGTACACTGTCAAATATGGATGTTCAATACCTATTAAATATTTAGTTACTACTCAAGTAAGTAATATAACCAAAATAATTAAATATTATGTTAAAATTAACTAAAAATTTTATTTACATTCATCTGCAAGAACATTTATAAATTGTATATAAATGAAGTTATATATATTTATGGTAAAAATAGCCAATTGATTGACACACCATTTAGTAAAGATGTAAATCAAAGATATTGTAAACATCTTGCTTTGCAGTGTTAGAGGTACAACACTAAAGTTATTGTGCTTCTCAAGTGTTCAAGTAGGTTTCAAATAGCAATTTTATACATTTTGGTAATTAATCAAGTGTGCTTTACATTAATAAAAGTGCTGGCAAAATAAAAAAAATACAATTTTGGAAAATTTTGAATTAAAAAAAAAAAATTAAAAATCACCTAAAGGCAAAGATGTCCTGACATGGCCACCAAGATGGGTTCAAACAGCCAGAGTTCTCTAGGAAAGTGATACAGCTTGTTGAATGGATAAAGGTCACGTTCAAGATTGCATTTCCAGTTTCTGAGAATCTACTATACTATAAGGGCCGGATTTAAGTAGTGCGGGGCCCCAAGCACAAAATTGTTTTGCCCCCCCACCTCCATCTCTATTTAATAAAAAATGTATTATAGTACAAGTACTTTCTGTACAGATACAAATGAAAACTGATAATTATTTATAGAAATTTTTACTTGTGTTACATTTTTCACATTAAATACATTTTACATAATGTATTTTATTTATAATTTTACAGTATTTTTCCGAAACGCGGGGACCCCAAGCACCTGCTTGTTTTGCTTGTAGGTAAATCCGCCCTGTATACTACGTAGGGACATTGGCTGAAGAACTAGATGTAATATATGGTACAAACCCTGTTGTCTTCTTATTTCTTAAAAAGAAACAGCAGCACAGCAAAGTTGTTGCAATTCAACTGTAATGATGTATAGTGAACTGAATAGGTACAAGACCTGTTACAAATTGTGGCTGGGGTTCAACACATTGAAAGGAATGTCTTCAGCATTGGTGCAATTGTTGAAGGTTGGCATACTAGCACAGTCAGAAGTTGCTAGACTATCATGGCACAATGTACAGTAGCTGACACCAATAAAACTTGCAGAGAGTTCACCTCAAGCTGCCAGTTCTCAATAGTCTAACCCAGTACCTCCATCCCCTTTCAAAATGAGCCTTTTATGGCTGAAGCTAAAACATATTACAACAACAAAAGTTAAGAGTGAAAAATTGCTGGTAGGGGTATAATTCTGACGAAAGATAAATTACTATAAAAATAAAGAATTTCAGAGGTGAAATAAAAAATAAAAGATTTTAGCAAAAGAAATAACTCAAGTGTGAGAAGAAAAAACTGAATTATGACCTTCATCTCAATCTTCTTTAAATAAAAGTCTTAATATGAGTGGGAAAGAAATTGATTAATTTTAAATATTATCTTTATCCACCTTGTGTTTATTTTCATTTTACTTTATTTAATGTAAAGTGACGCGGTCACAGACAAGTCTGATGAGACCCTCATCAACAGCAAATTTAGTTTATATGTTTTGTTTTTACTAGACCCATTAACGTCCAAATTAATTTTGTACACATAGCACTCGATCATTGTAATCGCGTTTGTGTATGCACATTATTGGAGCTCTATGGTAGCATGCTTTTGCAACTTTCAGTGCAACCCAATTGTTGTGTTGCTACATAATTGCTACTAGAGCGCTCCAAAGTGCAAACATTTGGTTATATTAGTATTTTGAGGTTAATGGATTAACAAAATTGATACTCAATCAACTGTATGCACACATTAAAATATGGACTTCCAGATAATTTCAGGTACAATCAGAGGCCCTTACTCTTTTCATTTCTTTAAAAAGTAATGTAGATAACCATGTGCATTTCTAAACCATCTTGTAAGTCACACCCACAAAACTGTATAAGCAGGCTAACAAAAGTTTGGATTATTGGCTTTAAATGGTGATGAGAAAAATTCATTTACCTAAAAAAAGTTCTGTTCACTGGCTCATTATATATTTACCTTAATTTGGGTAAACCAAGAACATTTCATGAAATAAATTGAACTCTCCCCCTCCCCCAGCCTTTTAGACAAAATCATTGGAAAACGTGAATTTATACAATATAATTACATATATTCATTGTATTTTTACAAAAATTAATTAAATACAACAATGACAATATCACATATACACAAATTCAACACATGAAAAATATTTACAATGTAAAAGTGGTCTCGACTTGAAAAACTCTCACAAGCATCTTTTAATCCAAAAGGAATGGCTTCTCAGGTAACCTTCGATGTTTATATAACTGATCATATAGTCCGTATTTTGGGTTTCACCCAATTCAAAATATTGCCAGCATTCTGAAACAAGATTTAGTGAAAAAGCCCTTCATATTTCTAATTTCAAACTTTATTATGTACTACACATCCATTCTGAACGGTTTTATATATCAGTCATTGACAAAATTACAACACGACACCACTAACTTTCACAATGCAAAAAATGGAACAGATAAGCTGCATGGTAAAGAAAAATAAATTTAACTTATTCAGCTAACACTACTAACATCTACAATAAATATATTTACTTTCAGTTGCAACAAATTCATTACACCTTTACCAAACCTTCAGGTACCATGCAAAAGGCAGGATAGGAACACAATTTTAAAAATCAAAATAACCCATAACATTACACAATGGGAATCCATTACACGACACACACAAACAAATCTTTCATTTCATGAAAATAATATAATTTAATAACAAAACTTGGCTAGCGAAGCATTGTTGTGCATCTCTTCAGTTAAACTGAAGAAATCATTGCATTATAACTACAGCAACTTTTAACACACAATTTCACCACAGTGATCATTGACATTTCACACAATAAAACATCTTTTCAATGAGTAAACAATACAAACAGCATCAGTCACAAAAGAAATCTTAACCATATACTACATCTACCACACCCAAGTACGCTCTTTTCAATTAAACCAACATTAAAATGCATTCCCTAATTAAAAAATTCTTTGAATGAACATAACATGATTGTATTATACACTTGTTCAATATCCACCGCAAACAAATCATGTAAAAATAAGTGCCATCGGGTTTCAATATTCAATGAGTGATAAAACGAAATAATCTTGAACATATAATATACAATGGGCAGGGTCCCAGGCACCAAGTCCAGAACATGATGTAAACATAAGGAATGTAAAGAAAGAATTAATTGCACGACTGGACTCAATACTTTTGCATGCAATGTGTTTTTTACTTCATGAAATAAGTCGTCATTCATAACCAAGTTATAAAAACAATGAATTTCTACATAATCACAGACTGAGTCAATAACTTACTATACACACTTGCAAAAAACTAAAATGTGAGGAATGGAAATGTTTAACAATAGGAAACAAAATTCAGCACTAAAAAAATAACGCAGTGCAAGTAGGTTCTACGGCATTTCTTCAACTTGCAAGAACTTCACGTAAGTGATGCCGTAAAATCCACAGGGATGGAAAAGTGCAAAACAGGCAGAATCACTATAACAGAAAAGTGGAGTAAACTACGAAATTCTGAATTTGCTTTAGGAAGACTTATTTTCAATAATTAACTCTAGCACATGAAATAAATATTTTGTTCATGGAACAAGCTTATCTGCGCCATAATTTGCACAATTTACATAGAATATTTCACTTGAGAATCACAATGACATCACAATCTATTCTATCAAAACGGGTTGTGTATTAGTATCCCGAGCACTACTGCATAAAGAATTTATGAAATTCTCAGAAAATAATATAAAAATTGAAGATTTCTTGGTTACAAAATCAATATAAAAGCTGGTATATGTAGCAATATTTCTCAATCACCCTATTGTGAATATAAAATTGTATTTTATGCTCTGGATGTGAAATGTATCATACATATCAAAATTAAAATCTTTGATTGCTGAATTAAATTAATGTATAGAGGGACAAAATTAACAGTAATAATAGGAAAAAAATGTAGACATGTTCTACTAGACACAATCATACTATTTCAATACTAAAGAATATATCAAAGTTCATTATAATGCTCAATAAATGCTTAAAAATCATTACAAAATAATTCTTGTAGTTTCTCAAATAACCTGCAATTCACTTGAATTTTTTAATCAATATACATATTTACAAATCTCTTCTCTTTAAATATATTTCAAACCAGTTCACTAAAAATTATTTCACAGTATCAGTACATTATTCAGGAGAGCCTTGAAGTAGATTTTTTCTCACCAACCTTATTTCGATTGAGCCTGTCATATTCTTGCGCCTTGTTATAGAGCAAAACACCAATAATGACTATACAAGTTCCCAATCCACTCAGTAATGTAACTGGATTCCCAAACATTAAAACAGACAACCATATTAAAAATGCTCTTTTAGCTGTGTTGGCAACACTAGAAACAAAACATAACATTTACTAATTACATTACAAAATACAAGAGATGGGAGTATCATCCAAAAATATCACATGAAACTCAATGTATTATTAATGTATTTCTTACCTGTGTGTTACTGGACTAATATAATCCATTAACACATAAGCAGTTATGCTTTGAAAATGGAAGAAAATGCCATTAAGAATAAATGCACAAAAAAGAGTAATGTCTGTTGTTTTCTGAATACCAGATAAGTCCACTAAAAAAAGGGAGGCTGGAATCTGTACAACTACCGAGGCAATACTAGTATAGAATTGAAGTTCAGCAGGTCTGCAAAAATAAAATCCAAAATTAAATTAATGAGTACTGTAATGTGCATTTTCTTCAAAAGAATAGCAATCAAATTATTCAAAGATTAAGTACACAATTATAACACAAGTGTATCACTTACGTATATTTAAATTTGTCGCCACTAATGAGCATCTTGGAATACACGTTTTGCAAGCTGAAAACAAAATATTGTGAATAAAATCAAGAACAGTAGATACATTGTAAATAAATAAATATGTAAAAATGTAAGAAACAGAACTAGAAGAATAAATTACTGTTCATTTACTGCTTAGTGAAATTTTTTAAAAGAAAAAAAGGGGGGGAAAACAAGAAAGAGCGACCACAACAACACACATTCAGAAGCTACTACACCAAACCAACACTACAAGGGGAACAGTCAAGATTTTCTCTTATTTGATAATTTCAGAGATTCTTCTGGCTCCTTTTACAATCCAGTAAATCAGCAGCTACTATTTTGTTCCCCTGAGCTCAGTCATGAATTAAATACATTTACTACTCTACCAAACTGTTGGCTTGGACTGTTTCACATGCTGCATGTACATGAACTGTTGGACATGCTCTTGCTTTTAGTTATTGTTCAAAATGAAAAATTCTTGAACAGAAGGGCAGAGATTTAGATTAGGGCATGACAAAGTAATGCAGAGAATATTACAGTTTCTATGAATATTTCACTTTAAATGTTCTCAATTTTTCTTGCCCAAAAGCAAATGAGTGTTTTTAAACATATGAACTATTTATTAGTAAACTAAGAGACAAACTTTTCAAGTATCTCAAATGAAACTTTCAAATTGATATTGTTGGTATTTTTTTTCTTTTTTGCTTATACCTAAATTTGATAAGTTACCTGTATACTTTATAAGTTATTTCCTTGAAATCAAATGAATCACAAATTAACAGTTATTAGTTTCATCAATTGTACATTGATATTAATTTTCAGCTGCACGAAATAGTGATACTGTGAATTAAACTTGCAACAAACACAATATACCATCCTCTTACTTACCACTCAGTGAGATTAGTAGCCATTGCAGCAACAAATCCTCGAGCATCAAAACTCAATTCGTTGGCTGAACATAGTGCCAACCCACTCATGACAGGAATGAGAGATAAATTAACATACAGGCCAGTTGATTCTCCTGATAGAAAGAGGCAATGTGTTACTTTTTAAGCAATATTTTGGGGAAGCAGATATATTCATTTATATAAATTTTTCTGTAATACAATATTTGTTAAAATCACATTTCATAAGAACACATTAAATAATAACCTACCTAAAATATATCTTGAAATTAGGACTGTAAAAAGTGGTGCAGAACTCTTGATAGTCTCAGTGAAACTTACTGCTACGTAATTCAGTGCTACCAAACCTAAAATGACGGTTATAAATCTGCAACAAATTGTTGTTCTTATAGTCAAATATGCACTTTAAAACATATATCATTGTTGTGGCATTTATTTTACCTTGTGCATCCCACTAGCATCATGTGCCTGTAAAATCCTGGAGGTCTTGCTAACCTCTGCGTAGGCTTGTACATTCCACAAGGAAAATACATTTGAATGAAACCACATGTTGTGGTCATTAACATCTGACATGTACCTACAAGTTACACAAAAATCTGTTTGACACACACCAAAAATAAGGCCCTTATAAAATAAGTGTTACTTTTCATTTTAAAGATCACTTCATTTGAAGGTTGAAGTCGACATTACCTAACACAGTTGGATCACCTTTCATGTAGGAAAGAATGTATTTGTTGAGGAACAATGTACAACCACTGAAGAAATACCACAGAATAAGAAAGAACATGGCTCTGCAATTCAAAAGTCCCTCCTTAGTCTCTATAGGTAAAATATCATCCATTCTTCTGATCCTGTCCTTTACCCTGTCACTTGAGTGGTAAATTTTCCCACTACTTTCATCAGCACCAGTGTCACATAATTCTTGCCGATCACTTAAATCTTGATGTTTTAATGAATTTGTAATGTTCTCACCAATATTAACTGAGTTCAAATGATTGTGATTCTTCATGGCAGAGTATAACCTGCCTGGCAGCTATTTCTTATTCTCCAGACATGAATGTTTTTCTTTTGTCTGCTCACAAGGATACTCAAAACCTGAAAATATCAATCAGACAAAAGCATCAGAAGTAACCAATACGCTAATTACAACACAAAAATATGGAACGTTTAAATTACATCGTCAAGATCTTCTCGTTCAATAGTAGGTTTTGTTTAAGTACCTAGAGGTTATGACTTCAACATTAGAAGTGTTATAATTTACATAACAACGGGCGACTTACTTCTTGATTTTCAAAACATTTCTTCGGCATAATTTTATGATTCCAATATTCTTTTCCTGCCAACACAGCATCTCGCACGACACATCACCAGTCGCGTTACACCACAGCGAAACGTTCACCGGTGAATTTAACAGCCCACTACTTTACCGACACACCTGGCGTAACCAGAGAAACTAATGCCATCTGATGGTCGAAGGATGTATCATCATCAACGTAGAAGTGGTGGGATAAGCAGTGGATATGGCAGGATGTGGGCAAAGGAAATGGATACAACTAGACGGGCAATCCTGGAATTTCGTAAAAAATACGCATTCGTGTAACTGAAACTACGATTAAAGAGTTCTGAAAGTTTAAAGCTTGTATTTATGCTGGGCCCTCACAAAAGCGCTCGTTCCAGAAACAAATTAGTGGGGCTACAGAATGGCACAGACTTTCCCTTTAGTTTCCTATTAACTTCGGTTTCTGCAAGCTATTCGGACTTCCCAGTCTCTTGACAGCTACCATCTATCGCCGCCCAAAGTTTGAAATTTTCTTAATTTTTGGGTTTCCTAATTGTAGAACGGAAATGTTTTAAAGAATATTAAAGAACATTAAAACTTCGTCTTAAATAGAAATTTTCTTTGAAAAATTTGGAGCCGTTTTTAAGAAAATGGTGTTGAAACGCTACTGTAAATTCGAAATTTGAAGCTATTAAAAAAAAAAAGTAGTTTTCGAAAAACTTCATTTGAGGCATTTTAACTCATAAAAATAATAGTGCTTTTTTTTAGGTTTTGTTTTTCAAATAGCTGGAAATGTGCATATTAACGGCATGAGATATCCTCCAAAAAACTTACATTTTTGGAATTTTTGAAAAAACAAAGAAATACCCCAAAATGAACTTTACGTCAAATTATAGCATGCAATTGGTACTATTCGTTCGAAAAGTATGAAGAAAATAAAATTGGAGCCGTTTATGAAAAAATGGCACGTGAGGGTTTCAGAAAATGCGGAATTTTGAGCTAGTTGTCACAGAAAACTGTTGAGTTTTCGAGAAACTTTAAATTACATTATTTAAAGCACAAGTACTCATAAATACAGTAATGTGAACAAATTACCGCTAATATAAATATTACCGACGTGAGAGACAAGTAAAATAAAAAAAATAAAAATAATGCTTGTTATTTTTTAAAAAACAAAAGAATATAGCAATTTGGTGTTCATGTCATCTTACAGAGTACATTTAGCACTATATCTATCAAAAGTGTAAACAAAGAATTTAGAGCTGTTTGTCAGAAAATCTTGCATTTTTTAAAAATTGAACATTTTGCTCACAATATAGGTGCTTTAGGTGCTAATGGTGTTCATAGACAGACGTTTTGAAAAAAACACGTTTTCGGTACAAGAGGACTCGGTATAACTTCACAAATTGGTAGTACCCAACTTTAAAAGTTCCAGTTTTCTTCAAAAAGTCACACATTTACACCTGTTTTCTACAATATAGTGCAAGAGTTTGGGTACTTTTTTGGTGTGCCTTACTATTTTTCAATTGGTTTGCTGTCACTATAAAAAAATTATATTAAAGTGGTTAACTGTACTAATCCAAAAATTTTCATTTGCATGTTCAGACCCATAATTTGAAATGGCTTCAACGACAGTATTCTTTGCATGTAGAAATATTACTTTTATCTAATAATTTGTGGCTTTAGAGTTTTTTTGTCTGATGAAACTTCTATTACATTTTCATATATATGATTTGTTATTTGAGAGAGAACACAAACATTAATAATTTAATCAATATTTAATAAATTCTTCATTCAAAAAATCTCTAACCATCAAATTAACTCCAATAAATTTTTTAAGGATTTTAATGAAATCAGATTATCTACAACATTTCTCCCAGTTCTGTATTTAGTGGCATAATACAAAGCAGCATATACAAGTATCAATCTGGATTGTAAATTTATAACATCACAAAGACAAAGATCAATGATTAATTTTTTATTAATTACTCTTCAATTGATACATATTAAACAGTGATTTTACTGAACTTACGAAATATATCACATCTCATTTTTATCAAATTTGAAAACTCATTTAAAAGTGGTGACCCATTCAAAAGTAGTTACATCAAACTGTAATACAACTTCCTTTTTCTTTTGAATCATGACAAGAACTTCAAAAAATTGAACACTTTGTACTCATTGACAGCTGAAACACTACATGTAATAAGTGATTTCTTTTTCACAAGTAATCTAAAAATGGTATTAAACTTTCATCCTGAGGCTTTAAAAACCAACACTTATTTGAAATTATGAATTTATGTAAAATAAGTCATTCAATAGTGAACACAATACATCATCATTATAAATATTACACAAATAACATATTTTACAAGCTACAAAGAAGCAATAAAAAGTCATTAACAAACACACTTGAATAGAAATGAGAAATGTACAATGACTTTCATCAAAAGTAAGTCAATAAACAAATTACCAGGAGAAAAGCCATTTATAAAAAAATATTAGAAAATCTTGTCATCTTTTGAATATAAAATCATTTTTACAACAATAAAATGCAGGAAAATGGAAGATTGGATGATCTAAATTACTGATATTTCAATTCCCATGTAACTTTAATCATCACCATCATCACCATCATCACTAGTTTCATCATTTGCTTGTGTCTGAGATTGCACATCTGCATTCTCAAAATTTTGTTCTGGTACCTCATTGATAATAGTGGCCATTTGCTTGGAAGGTTCGGCCTTTTTATTTTCTGGGTACATTGCTTTCTCAGTGGAAACTTCTACAGATTCCTGGGTTTCTTCTGACTCCATTTCCACTTCACTGGCCATTTGTTCATCCACTGGTGGCTGTGTTTCACTTGTAGCTATCTGATAATCAGATGACATATCTTCAGTTTCCTGTTTGATCTGTTCAGATTTTGCATCCCGAACACGCTCTTCTTCTTCTTCACTATCTGTGTCACGATCTCCTCCAGGATGATGAGAGACAAAATGCTGTGGGCTTGAGCCTTTGTGTGTTCCTGGTTTCTGCCACATCTTTTGGGCGCCCTGGTGAAGGAAAGAATAAATTACGTTGAACACAAAGAGTACTAAAAATTTGAATGAAGTGCAGTCAATCATCAGAGGGAGAGGAGAAGAGAAATAAGATAATAATATTATTTATTATTAATAATGAAGAGGTGATATAAATTAATAATTAAATAATTGAAACTGACCTTTTTAATGATCAATATTTTCATATCTATGAAAATAGTTTCTTAAAATGAAACAAAATATTTGAATAAAAACCATACTAATTGATAACATATTTTTAACAAACAAAAGTGTTTTTTAAATACATGGTGTTTTTTAAATACATGAAGAAAAAAACTGTTTATCTAGTTTTCCCTTTTTAATTTTTTTTATACCTTTACTATGTTATTTTTCCTCTTTCCCCTTTTCTGAAATCAGTATTCTGTTTACATACATAATCCTCCGAGTCATTGTTCATTTTAATCAGGTTTCTACCCTACACAAGGTGGTGAATGGCTGTTCAACATTACATATTATGCATGGTAGAAAGAGAAGAGAACACTTTTTTAGAATTAAGAATTTTTTAATTTTTTTGAGAACTGAGAAAAACATGATTTTGAATAATTCTAAGGTGGCACATAAATAGCTAAATAAAATTTATATTTTTTCCACACTCATTTAAAAAAGATTAGAAAAAATTATTTTTCCCCCCCAAATTGTCCAAGAACATGAATCATTTAATAATAAATTAACCTGAGAACACTGAATTAAACAATTTTTTTTTTTCAATAATGTGTATCTTGATCCACATCCCAATTTAAATGTTTTTGATATAGAAAGATTTTTATAGTAAAATAAAACTGGAATATTCCAAAGAACACAATAAAATACACTTACATAGAAAGCCGCTTTCATTGCCTGTACTTTCTCAATATAGAAGTCATAGACAAATGCTGCCATTTGGGGCATGTCCTCTACTTCTTGAGGTGTCCCTTGAGGTAAGTTGTCATTAGGTCTCTGGCTGGGGTAAGTTTCATGAGGAGCCAAATGCAATTTCAAAGGCCTCATCATCAACTGAAAGATAATCAAAGGGTTCATTTAACCTATTTCATTCTAGTCCATACACTACACTAATTTCACATAATTCATTAATTATTCAGCTGAATATATATTTTGTAATACTGTAAACAATAATTAGTTTATAATTAATAGAATATCCAACAGAACATTTCAATATTGACCCTTTTGTTCGAGTGCAATTTGCATTATATAAAAATTCCAATTTATTTGCAGCATGCATTTTGGAACTTTTTGCTTTTTCATCAAGAAGAAAACAAATTTTAAACAAACACTGACCACTAAAATGTTTGGCAATACCCTCAATATCATGGAATTATTAGCTTTTTTATAATGAATCTCTTTTAAATATCGATTCTATATGGTTTCCCTGTAGGCAAATTATTTTTGATAACAAGAGAATTGAACTCTCAAGAACTGAAACGTTCCATATTGAAATTATTTACATAAAATCAGTTTTTGATATGCTCTCCAAAGTTTTCTTTTGTGATAAAACAAAACAGAACAGAAATTAAATGAAAATGATCATTACTGTTTATATTAATAAATTGTAAATGGCTATCAGCTAAATGATGCACAAAAACTTTCTTAATAAAACAGCAACCTTTTCTGTTTTATATTGAAAGCAAAAAAAAGCAAAGCTTTTATATTTGAAGAAAAACAAACAAAAACACATACAACAATAACACCACCACAAAACAACAATTAAATACCTGACTAAAAGCAGGAGTCAGTTCAAAACAATTCTTGAACAAAGAAACTCGTGCAAAAACATAGAGACCCAGTCGTGCACGAGACATTGCCACCACAAGTCTTCTAACATCACGAAGATGCCCCACAGCTTTGGTTCGTACTAATGACAATAAAATGTAATCATTCTGTTGACCTTGATACTTGTCCACAGTGGTTACTTTGTGAGGGCGCCCTATCAAAGGGTTGTTGGAGCATCGAATGTTGATTACATCTCTTATTAGATGTTTCTGACCATTGTAAGTAGTGAGAATAGATATCTTCTGAGCAGGGTAGCCCAACAATCTCATGTACATGAAGACAGCCACACAGTATTCAGCTTCAGCTAAATTCTAAAAAAACAGAATCATATTACTACTTTAGAAAGAAACATGATTTCAGAAAACATTACATACAAAACTGAAAATAATTATGTCCTGTTAAAAACTACTTTCCAAGTTCAATTGTAGTACCTTCTGAAAAGTTGAATACAATTAGACTGACCTGATAAAAGTATGGACTAGGTTCTGACTCCCCTACTCCGTTGAAATCTTCTACATTCACGAGTTGGAAATCATACCAGAATCCAGGATTGGCAACTCTGTATTCAGGCCAGTTTTCTACATGAGCCAAATTTCCCAGTTTCTTGTACCGCCAATTATACAAATTACAAATACTGTAATAAATTTTAAATTTTGATAATTAACAAAATGAGTTATCAACAACAGTAGTATGAAATATTGTAAAATTAACAAATTGAACAACATATTTGAAAACAAAATTAAATGAAAGAATAAAGTTGACATGAAATTGCTATTGAGGCTTTCCAGAAGTAAAGAAACACTATATGATCAATGACAATACATTTAATAATTTTAATTTCTCAACATTTCTAAAGACGATTCTGATTGGACCTCTCCTCACAGAAAATCTTGGACAAAAACAAAGCAACTAACCTTGGTCGTGCACGACCCTGCCCATCCAAATCTACAGTTGGCACTCCTAATCGCACTATCCTTGTGAAAAGGGATTGTTCCATGTTGGAATACTTCTGAAAAGCCATATTCTTAATAACTGGAGGCAACTGATGATGATCACCAATCATTATCCAGCGTTTTAGCCTACTGTAACCATCTTGTGGATTTTGAAGGAGAAGAGGAATAAAAGTTTCTATCTCCAAAATTTGGGCTGATTCTTCCATCAAAATATTATCATATTTAAAACCTGCAAAAATTTAGATTTAGTGACAGCTGATAACTTTACATGATTTAAATATATTTTGCACTAGTTAAAACAATACCCAAGTCAACGAGCTCTCGTCTCTTAAGAGCAGCATGAGTACAAGTCATTGCAATAACTTTTGCTTCTTTCACCAACAAATATTTAGAACGATCTAAACCACTTCTTAAAAGTTCAAAAGCACGGAATTCTTCAAGCTGGGTAAAAATTTTTTCTATGTATCGAAAGCAGCCTTCAGCAATTTCCATATCTTCTTCATATGTTCGACACTTGAACAAAGGCTTGGGAGCATTATCAAAAAATCGATGAAAAGGAAATTCATCTTTGATAGTTTTTACTGCTACTAACTGAAACAAAATAATGTTACTTTAAGTTATTTATTCATTAAATTGATTCTTATATGTGGCACATATAGTGATACACACCTTTCCAGAGGATGGCCGAACTCTGCTTAAGAATCTTTCCCACCGTGCTAAAATTTGGTATAAAAAGAAATGACCAGCAGTCTCACAAGTATATGCAACATCTCCAGCTACTTCTAGACTTTCCTGTAGTCGCTGAACTTCTGTGAGAAGATCTAATCTCTTAGCAAGAACATAATTAACTCGCCCATATCGGCTAAAGTCTTTTTCTGTTTCCAAAGCCTCTTCACCATGACCCAAACGTAGAAGATGTCGTTCATCAATATCTAAAGCCATGATCTTTTCAAACAATTGATTCAATGCCTGGTTAGAATGAGTGACAATCAAAGTGCGCTGGGCAGGAAAATTATGATACAAATTTGCAATAATCTGGACAGCAACATCTGTTTTTCCAGTTCCAGGAGGTCCAACCACCAGAGTAAGTCCTGGTTGCATTCCAGCTCGAATTGCTTCTACTTGAGTTGGTGTAAATGGAATAGAATTCCTAAAAAAAAAGATACTTAATTAAAGAATATCCTAAATAATATTTATTTGAGAAGTATATTTATATTATCGTTATGATACCTTTAACAGTCTGCCTAGAACCACCAATTATTATGCTGAAAGGATTGTTTTTTGTTTTTTATGCTAACATTAAAAAATTGTATAGTTGTCTAAACTTCTTTACTCTCTTTATTAATTCTATAAATTACTATATTTACCACTAATATAACATAGACATGATATATACCTCCTTAGTCTATAGCTATATGTAATTTACTTATACTTTCTGAGAAGCAGTTGTGTGCATTTTATATTCTTTTAGTAATTTCTTCTTTCTATTATTTATTTTTGCATCTTGGCTTCTAACTTCTGTGACACATTTACTTTGAATAATTATTTGTAATTCTAAGAGCATGTCCCATTAATAAATAAATAAATAAATAAATAAATAAATAAAAGAAAAAAATATTACCTTTTTGGTTCATTGAACAAGTAAGGACCTCGACTTGGTATAACATGAGGTTCTACAGTGATAATTTTTTTAGCTTCTTTCATTTCATCACTTTCCGCTGCTCTTTTCTTGCTTAATACATCCTCGAAAGTCAGTCTATAATCAATTGGTAGTGTATTATTGCAATAGATTTTATATACATCTTACAAAATAGCAAAGTATTTGAAATGAAAGAACTATATATATAGTACTTAAGTCAGTATGGACATAATATTCTTACCTAAATGGAGGCACAAGTTTCCGAGGATCATCTGTTTTCACTTTTATTTGATGTTCAGGAAAGCTTGCTCTTAAATGATCCATGTCAAGGAAAGTGTCATTGAAATCCATAGTAGCAATTTCATTTGGCATTCTACCAAACAGACATGGTTAGATTTTATTATCGATTTTGTATTTTCAATAATAATAATAACAATAATAATAATAATAATAACAACAACAATAATAATAATAACAATAACAACAACAATAATAATAATAATAATAATAATAAAAATAATAATAATAATAATAATAATAATAATAATAATAATAATAATAATAATAATAATAATGTTTGAAATTCAACATTTTTTAAAATAAAATTTACCTATATCTGTTAACAGTGAAGTCATAAAACTCATAAGAGAAATAAATTATACCTAGAGTAATGAGCAGCTCCTGGATCTCCATAACCCAGAATAATGTCATGAAGCCAGTCAGGTACCACACACTCTGTATTCATAAGTTCACGAATAGTTTCAAGTACAGCTTTAAAATTGTTTTCCTTGGGTTTCCTTCTCATTAATATGTTGAAAGTCTCATACACATCCTAAACATTGCCCATACCAACAATAAGAAACAAGTAATTCACGTTTATCTTCAAAAAATATATTATTTAAACCCTTCCAATCAAAAATCAATATTCTCACACTTAGGAACTAAAATATTACACAAATAAACATTCTATTAATTATTAGTCAGATAGGTAATTTGTGGAACATTTTAAAAAAATATTAAGAAGCTAGTTTGAAGATTGATAGTTAAAAATAAGTTCAGTTTTTTATTGTTTCATAAGGGAACTATTATCTAAGTTAGAAACTGACTATAGTGGAGTGTAGAAGAAAAGCAAAAAAATTACATACCTCCTTCCCTTGGCTTGCTTGATCCATGTCAATGCGATATTGATTACAGTCCAACCACACTCGGAAGGTTCTTTTCTCCCCTGGCAGTTGAGGTTTAGGCTCTGGACCCTCTTCTATTACTCTACCATTTTGATCCAGCATGCCCTCAATCTCACAACCCCTTACATATGTCAACCCAACTTGAGGAACAAAAGGATCTCTATGATTGTACTTCGTACCTGGGGCATAAAAAAATAGAAATTTTAAAATGCAGGTACAATTCCCTCCTGCTTTAATTGGAATAAATAATACTACATCAACAATAAATAAAATCAAATTGTTTTAAAAGTGTAAATAGCTTCATTTTGGATTCCAATTTCAAACATTTCTATTAACCTATGCTACAAAGTGAGATAATGTAAAAGAACATCCAAAAATGTTTCACGGTGTAGTTTGTCAACACAAGAAACATACGTTGTGTTCCTTTAGGACCATGAAAACGTGATTTTATGGGTGAACAATGCTTCATTTCTGAGATTGTGTCGCAGTGTTACTTGTGTTGCAAATTGCATTGTGCCTGCTGTTTCTCAAACACCATAAACTGTGTTCTTTGATTTTTTTTGGTCATAAATCTTTTTGCCTGGAGAGTTATTCCTAATCCACCAGAAGCACCCTCATGGGGTTTCAGGGGACTTCTTCCTTACTCAATATAAATAGAAGGTAGTCTTTGTTTGTCTCACCTATTGTTTGAGTAGGTCGAACAGTAACAAGGAAACAAACATCATGTTTCCTGAGGTTTTCCCATTCATTTTTAATTTCATTTCTGACACTCAGATTTACAGAAACATCTGCTCGAACTCTTGAGGGCCGCTTTTCACCTGCATTATTAATACAGATTTAAGAATATTCCAATGATTCTTATGTAAATACTAATCACTTATAATTTTAACAGTAATTACCAATATTGGGTTTAGCAACTTCTACAACAGCAAAATTTACAATTGGCTGAGCCATCCGTGCCCATCCTCCAAAGTAGGTACTGCCATCCTCGGCTCTCCTGCACAATATTTTTTCAAATAGGCATAAGCAACAGAAATAATCTATGGAGACATTATCAATACTCTACAGAAAAAAAACAACTTACCATGGACTTAATCTGCTAATAGCATCTTCAATATCCTGACGGATTTCATCTTAAAAAAAGTTACAATTATATCAGAAATAAAGACAATGTATTTGAGCAGAAGGAATAAAATGTAGTAAAAATCATATGTTCTTACAAGTAGATTCTAGACGAAAAAGGTTGAAGTTTCTCAGAAGGTAGTCATGCAAAGTGAGGAATTGAAGGTTTAGTTTTGGAAGGGCAAGACATCCTTCTCCTGAAAAGTATTCAGTTGGTACAATGTTCTCATTCCAAATGATGTCTTCTGTAGGGTAAAGGGGCATTTCATTCAAAGCTTCAAGTTGAGATGCTCTCCTTTCATGCCTTGAAACCTAAATATGAAATTCACCATGAAATAATATACAATGTAAAATGTACTAACAATCATAATGCAATAAAAAAATGGGGTATACCAGCAATTCCAGAAGAAAGTCTCTGTCCAATCGTTGCCAATCAGGTACTTCTTTGGCATTGGCAGGAGCAACAAGGTTTAGGTAGGAAGCAATTGCTCGCAGTTTCTCCTCACTGCACAATAAAAAACAACCAAATGAAATTACAAACCTAAAAAGTTTGTTTCAGAAACTAGATAAAAATGTTATATTTTTAAATATACAAAACAAAAATTAAAATTCAATTTTTTCTATGAATTAGTTCTGTTGATAAGCAAAAAGGCTGATAATAGTGTGGGGTGCCAATAAAAAAATTTAAGAAACTTTTGCTAAAACACAACACATTAAACACATCACGTTATATAGAATAGTAGGAAAGTGAAGGATCCCCCCCCCCCCCAAATTCATTAACTGTTTGTATTCTATATTAGGTGCTAGGAAACTGGTAAAGATGAAATGTTAAACAAAAAAACCACAATGGTTGATAATGTGGCAAATGTGGAGCAAAACACACTGTAACATATACACTACCTGAGAGGGCCAAAATGTTTCAGCAAGGCTTCCCGAGTATCCACACTGGCAACATTTGCTAAAGAGAAGCCACGGAGGTCAGGAAACTTTGCATATGCTGCTTTCTGCACATAGAAACATTTTTTTATGTACAATCATGATCTTTCTATCATTTTTTACTACCAAATTATTGTGGTGAATATAATTGTGGTGTTTTATAACACAAACGCAAGTCATTTTTGGTGGAATTAAAAAGGGAAAGGTTTACGGGAAGTCAACAGTAGTATAAGTCTTTGGTTTTTGGAAACAAGATCAACAACAGGACAACATCTAAGGTTTGTTTTGTCTGCAACTGAAACTCCACAGACAGAGAAATGAGAGGTCCAAGGTTTGAGTTTCTAGAGTAATAACACCAAAATAACATCTTGAGAAGACATTACATAAAAATAATAAATGTGTTATGTTCAGAGAAGTGTAGGAGGAGGAGGGGGAGAGAGCCCGGTGTTGTTCTAATCAGTCATTTCCAAATATTTATTGCCAGGAGATACCTAGACATTACTTTAACTATGATTTGAGTACAGCTGAAACTTCTTTTTTCAACATCTATCCCTTCAATTGTTTGTGAAGCTCACTTTGACTAAATCTAAATCATGACGAATAACTTCTTTATGAACGAGAATTACCTCAAGAATATATGAGGAGATTAAGATAATATTAAAATACACTTGGCTTTCCCCACAGCATGCACCTTGGTAAGTTACTCTAATATTTGAATATTTATAATAGTACACCTTCCGGAAGTAAATCTGAACTTCTAATGGCCTCACGAAGCGAAAAGCATCCCATCTAAGAATCAGAATTGTTAGTGTTTGAGAAGCATCCTTCTGGGCTGTTATATCCCTGGCACTCACCAGAAGAAATCAGAACTAAAGGTGTACGAACAGCACATACTTTCTCTTACTATGCGTATCAGAGTGCTGCGCTTTATTTTTTTAAGTCACAAACATAAGGAAAAAATTTGCTGTTCTTGGAAATCAAATTTCGGCCTCCGCTTTAAAAGGTTACGACTTATCAGATACTATTGTAACGGATCCTCTTATTGTCCTCCAGAAAATAAAATATTTACTCTCGCATACTTTTAAGATTTTGGGAATCACCTAAAGAGGTCATTTGAAGCCCTTGTGTTGAGAAATGCATTAAATTGTAAAATACACCTGTAATGTAAATCAAGGCGAGATTTCAGAAAATTCACAAATATGTAATGTTAGAACAATAAAAAGCTTAATCAAAATAGCATTGATGTCTTGAATGTAATGAATTAATAACCCTATTCTCTACCCGTATAATAAGTTTGAAGAAAAATTTCGAAAACTACGAGAAAATCTTGTTTGATAATTTTGGAAATTGGTCACTATTTGACTGAAAAATTACTCGAAAACTACTAATCGTTTGAAAAAACTGTACGAGAAATGATCTATTTATGATCTAATATTGAAGAACATATTACATAAAGAAATAAATCTCTAGCTTCAATAAAGAAGGTGAAAGGCAGGATCGAGGAAAAGGTGAACTTTTTCAATTTTCAAAACATCAGAGGTTTTTTAACGATAATGACACCTGCACTATATTTATATGTGCATTTTCGTACATACAAACAAAAATTTTAACATTTGGAGTCATGTTTTAAAAAATCTTGAAAATGTCTTGCGTTTCAAATTCTCAGGGTCTTGAGATGGGCCAGGTCGATACGGGGAATATTTGAATTTCACCATTCAAATAAACAACAGATTCACATTTTCAGTTTCCCAATAAAGGCCTCTAGGATTCTAGCAGCCAAATCGATCTTTTTTGGTATCCTAGCACAAATTCGATTTTCGGCATTACAGAATTAACATAGTGACACAGAATCATAATATACATGTTAAGAGAAATAAAATAAGTAATGCTACGTCGAGGCTTGAGCGAGACTTCACTGCAGGACATCTGAGGTTCTGGGGTTCGAGCCCCGATGGTGGAAGGATTTTCGACAGCTGGATAGCTGTCTGCAAGAGAATTGTAACGGCCAGCTACTCTGATCGGAGTTTTCTGTGGTTTCTCCTATCAAAACCAGGCGAATGTCAGGGTAGAACCCTAACAACGCGATGTTTCCTTCCCCTTCCTTGTCCTCTCCTAACCCTTACTTGCGCACTTCCACGTACTACACTTCCACACACATCGGGAGCTTAGAGCTTGACTTGACAGGGGCGGTGGCCCGCTGGTGGGAGATAGCTGACCATAGAAGTGGATGCGCCCGTAAATACGAAATAATTAATCAATCAACAAATCAATCAATTAAGCGAGACTTGGGCGCTAGCGCATATGCTCACCTGCAGCGACGTAATCTTCGAGTAGTGAAGTTGCGTCATGTCATGATCTGTGAGCGGATCTCCGGTCTCGTCACTAATTTCAAATCTGGAGTAGAATTTCAGCATATCCAGTAACTGCAACACACACAATCACACATTTGAATACAGCTGTAAAAACAAAATAAAACGAAAAAACATTTTGTTTTATTTTGTCAGATTTTTTACTTTGAAGCAATGGTGAGACATTTCAAGAAACACAACGAAACAAATTTCATGGTCATTTTCTCATTATGACGACTGAAAAAAAAGCAATTTTTATGTACGATAATAAAGACGTGTAAAACCTTAAACAAAAGGTGGAAGGAACTAATAAATATACGGGCCCCATTTCCATTGAACATTTTATTTACTTATGACGTATTTTACTAGTAAAATTGCACGCGTGAAATAAAACTCCACAACTACCGATCAGAACTTACGAAAATGGTAAAGAAAACGTACAGTTAAGACGCCGAGGACAAAAACAAACAAATGCACATCACAGTTTACGTAAAATGTCAATCTGAAACATTTATGACTACTTAATTATTACTACTACTTAGACTTATTAATCTTTAAATTACAATTACTGAAACTGGATAATGATATTCCACCTATGCTTGGCTATTTTAATGTGGAATATCAGTATTATCTTTTACATGAAACGTCTTTAGCATGGATAAGTACGGCTACAAAATCACGTTGGTCTGACACTACCTCACTAATGGAACGCCGTAAAATATTTAATACGAACAAATTGAATGCATAAATGTAAAACACATTTGCTGTAAGTATATTACAAAGGTGAAAAATATAAACGTCAGTTGATGGTACCTTTCTAAGAAGCATTATGGAAGCAAAACCTCTTTGAATAAAACGTGACTCCTTTTCCATTTTCCAAGATTTATAAATATGATATTCTCTCTCATATGGGTTTTCGCGGCTTCGAAGAATATTTAATCAATATCTTTCATATTAATACAGTTTTCTAATTCTCTAAGTCTCGGCAGTGATCATAAGTTCACAAAGCAAGGCCAGCGAAAATAGGTCTTGTCCAGAACGTTCGCCACGTTTACATCGAATACGACGTCATCAAATATATGCCTCGAATGGTAAAAGCATGCCGGTATTTTTCAACATTAAAATTATTCTTACATGGAAACGAAACAATATTGAAGATAACACGGGGGCAACGGGGTATAATTGCACTCGTGGGAAGTAAACAACTCGCCCTTGTTTTCGTAAACATATCACTTGTGCAATTATTCTCTTTTTATCCAATATTTCGTTCATTACTACAATGTACAATTCTGTGGTAGCAGCAGAGATATTGTGATATTCCACAATGAATAGTAAGGATTAAAAAAATAATCACAAAAATTGATGATGAATAAATGAGTATTTATTATTTTCAATTCATCCATGCATGGCATATTTCGGAAATATTAATTCCCTTCCATAGTAGCCCCAAGTATCATGTGTTAAACACGTAGAAACTAAAACGGCGCCATCATGCGCAGTACTGTGCAGAATGAAACTCAATGATGATGGGATAAGTTTCCTGGAACATGTCATGACTGGATAATGCGATGTACATCGCAGTGTGCTCCGGAATCCGCAGGTCACACATAGTAAAACCCCTCGGCAGAGGACTCCCCTCCGCCCATTCGTCCCGCACAAGTGCCCACGATAGCCGTCCCTCACCACCCTCCGCCCCCACAAAGGGCTTCACGGACATACACACAAAGGCAGATTCCCCCGGGTCGCCTCCGCGAGCCGCTCCTCAGGACGGGAGGGAGCCCCTCCCACCACTCCGCCCCAGTGTTTGACTCGGGCGATTGTCGGATTGGGCACCGAAGCAGTCGAGAGCGCCTTCCCACGGCGCCGCGCGGAAAAAATAGGTCGATAAGAGAAGGGAGTGCCTCGGACGAATCCATACGAATTACGTAGAAACTTCGAGAAGCCAGAAGAAACTATCAATTAAATTAAAAATACCATACACGTGACGAAGCAAAAGGATTTCTAAAGGGGAGACGATAAGAAACAATAGAACAACAGGCAGAGGAACGAAAAGACACTGGAGATAAGAGCCTAAGGCCCATTCAGAATGCAAACGAAAACGTAAGTACAACGCATAGACGTAAACATTCACATACGTGACAGACTGACGTATTCACAATGTCTAACATTAACGTAAGTAAAATAAGAGTTTCTTTTGGCTGTGAGACATTCTAGTTTACTGTTGGTTGGATGTGAGAATCTATTTCGAAGTATCGACTGTGTCCGTGGACCATATGGCGTTAGTTCGTCTATCGACTTCGTTCCTATTTCGATTCTCGATTTTTTGTTACCGTACCGTGATTGATGAATTTCGTATGTCTTACTTAAGCATAAGCACAGAAGCTTGAAGCTTGCAAGCTTTTAAGTTAACGTCTTACGTGTTATGTTTATGCGAACGCAATTGTGAACGAGTCCGCTTATGGACGTTGTCCTACCTTTTATGTTAACGCAATGCTTATGTTTATTTTTGCAATGTGAGTAGACCTTTAGAGAGACACAGACGTAACTTGGTGACGAGATGTTGAGAGGACTGATGTCAGCATAACTTGGAAGATCAGACGCGACGCGACGCGGTCTGGTCTGGAATTGGTCATCACTTGCCGGCCCAAACAATTCGACCGATCGCCATCTGTCGAAACCGGATTTAATATCGTTGTATGTGCAGCAGAACTCCACCGTGACGTCACAAACGGAACTGCCCTGGCAACGGCCCACGATCGTGCAATCCTTCGAGACGAGGTGACCAAACTATCACCAACATCACGTTTTTTTATCATTTCCATCAAAAAAACTAAGTAGCATTTCTGAACTGGAGAATATAAATTAGAAATGGTCAATTGGACATTTGTAAAAGTTGTTCTTTTTTATTTTAATAAACGAGTTCCCGCCACGTAGATGGGCGACACTTGCAAAAAGACTCCAACTGCGAATCATTTAAATAGTATATTAGTAAGCATAATGCATTCCTTCGACTCACAGCGTCCACCCATGGGGTCGTCAATGCTGGAGCCGGATAGCAAGGAAGTTACACGCTTGGCGCCCACTAAAAAAATTTCGCGTGTACAACCTAAAATCCACTACTTACCGACGCACTCCGTGAGTGACGGTACCCTCCTTTGTGGTGGCTAGTCAACGGGTCATCACAATAATTATTGAAAATATTAAATAATTATAAAAAAATATGGTTGGTATTTCTTGGATCCTTAGTACTCATAATAGTACACTTATTAACAAATACCACTGAGTTTATGTTAAACCATCGACACAAATGGCTTGGAGAGTATAGGCTAATTTCAATAATCTTCATTTGGTTACGCGTCGTGATAATCAACCTCCACTTGATAAAGGAAACATGTTTGCATTTATGCATGCTATATCAAAACATTAATGAGCAACACTTTACGTAATTAAGAAAATCCGACAGAACACAAATACAATCAAATCCATTTTGTAACAACAATGTTTCCTTTCCGTAGTTCCGAATAATTAAGAAATCATATTACGCACAACGTCGATGTTGTATCTCACGATACGTCAGCAGTCAACAGCCTGTGGTTTCATAGTTCGCGGTTTTTCCTTAGAAACTATCCTTTGATAGTGCCAATATGCCCAATGCTTCGCAGTTTTCCGTTTCCGCATATCCATTGATAACTTTCAACTTCCTGGCTTCACTGACGCACATATGTTTCTTTAATAAGTTTTACAACTTGCTTTCAATTTTTTGGCAAGAACATTTAACAAGTAGAAAATGTTAAAAAACGCATAACACATAAGGAAGTCATTCCGTTTTAGATCTTCTCCTAAATATTTTACTGTCATTAAAAAATAGAAATACAGAAAAATAGTGATAAAAATGCATGTACAGTTTATTCTTTCAATACCACAAACACGAGATAAGATTTTCACTGAAAGGGATATGCGAGGGACACAAGATTCTGCACATGCTATCCTACAGACTTTTTATTGTAAAGATATCGATAACACTTCCATTTTTAATGGAACCCTCTATATCTTTTTTTAGCCCATGAGATCGTGCGTTAAGTGACGAGTTCATAAATATACATATCGTCTTACGCTGCACAACAATATTTATGAGAAATGTAGAGTTTTTACGTCACCCGCCATCATTAATATTCCTCGACCACCACGAAGAAACCGAGGTGACGCTGCGATCCCATTCTGTTCCGTTGCGTTGCACCTGCGGGGCGGACAAGGTGTCACGAGGATTGTCATTGGGGTGTTTCCTTTGTTACTGCACGAGCATCGATTACTTCAGAGCATATTCTTCTATCCACTATTCCACTCCTTGTGACAGATACGGGATAAGAACTCGACGTTTTTCTCAACTCTCGTGGAAATCCATTTCGCGCTCGCTTCAGTCGTGGTGGCATCGTTGTCTTTTGCGCTTCGCACGGTCAACGCAACGGAACAGAATGTTCTTACAGCGTGTGTCACCCTTGCTTCCTCGCCGAGATATTCTATATAGGATGAGTCATTTCAGGTGAAAAAACACAAATCGATCTCTTCAAATCGATGAATAAATATTATACGCCATTTTGCTCAGGAATGCCTCGTTACTGCACCGCAGTGTTTTGACGGCTTCTCTTCTTTTACAAGTAGTTTCTTTGTCCAGTAGGTTGCGATTGGGTTGGTCGAAGCGTCGAGGAGTTTTTGTAAGTATTGCCGAAGATTTTTTTAAACTACAAACGACGAAAATTGCCAATTTGTAAATTGACGGTTCTGGGGTGCAATATTAAATCACTTGCGCCCGACCTCGCCCGCAAAGCTGTTAGAACAGCAGTGAATTCTCTGTTCGCAAAAGAGGCACATTACCTTTCTTGTCTTCAAACATTCTACGGGAATCTATTCTTCTGAAGCCGTTACTAATATCATGATGATCACACAGGTGTGTTTTTTTTAACCTGAATGTATGTTTATATACAGGACAGCAGAATTCAGCAGACGTCCTGATCTTTCTTCCCCCTCTCTCTTTCACCCTTCTTTTCTCTCTGTTACTTATCTCTCCATACTGCGCT